CATTTGCTTGTGAATTTTTATCTTTTTGCAGTGTATCATTTTGAGTCAAGCTTTTGACAAATGCTTTAACATATAAGAAAGTACCAGAGTAATATTCTAACATTGCAATGAAAATTAATTTCATACCTCAATACCTATGTTTAAAAATAAAATAACCCTGTAGCATCACGTACTCTTTTTGGGGCAGCATTGAAAGCAAAACCCGGTTAAGTGACATAGTAAGTCTTTACAATAGATTAAGATCACTTAAGGATTTTTTTGTAAAATTACAACCATTTGGGAGTTTAGGGAACGCATGCTGTTTAGAAAATTAAACCCACTAGCACAACTTTGATATGGAATGAAATTAATTAATGAACACCTAAAACGTAACGAAGTCTTGACAATTAAAAAGCTTCACTCACTCTTTTTATAGCCTCTGAGTGGCATTTTGTATCAATGAATCACATATTTACGTATTTTAGAGAAAACAAGTCAAAATCCCTCAAATTTTTGTGGGGTTCACGGTTCAATCCTGTCCTTCTAGCACTTATAAGTCCCAGACCTTATAATTAATAGACTAGCCTATATCAATAAAACCCAATCGACCTGAATTTGATCCTACTCACAGTGGCGTCAAGATGTTGGCGATTGTCTGTAGCTGGGGGCGTCCATATATACTTGGCTTTATTAGCTGATACAACCCTTGGCACGGCAGCCTCGCCATCCAGGGTCTGAGGAGTTACCAGCTTAGTGCCAGCAGGGGGAGAACCAGGGTCCGTGCAACAGCAGCGAGCCTCCACCTTGCTGGTAATCATTCTCATTGTGATTCAGGATGAGAAATAAATCAAATATATCCTAAGGCGGCTTCACTTGAAATTTTTTAGGGGAATTTTTTATGCAGGCAGGGTGTATTTAGCAAAACTTCTCATATACAGAATAAGCTATTACCGTGGGTCTTACACCTACACCCATGTAAATGTGAACCTACATTTGGGCTCTATGGGGGCATACAAATGAAATACCACCGCCGCAGCAAACCTGCAGACTAAGCAAATTTAATTTGTCTAATTGGATTTTTACTAAAATATTTCCATAAACAAGATGACATATTTGAGTGAAAATTTAAAAACGTACGTTTTCATGTCCCTGGCCTTTTACTTCGTAGATACTGGATTTGTAGTTTATTATTATGTGTTTTAATATTTTTTGGGACGGGGGCAACATGTTACACACATTTATTTGGTTTTAAATAGGTTCTAGGTATTTTTTTTTGTATTTTTAAAGTCTCGAAATTCACGACCATGACATGTTCCTAGGGTACATTTTCCAACTTTCACACTGTTTTTAGACTAATTATTCATGCCGAAATATATAAAGCCATATTTTTATGTCATCAATGGTTATTAAACTTACAAAAAAGGAGCATATTATAATTTTATTGTCATTACAAACTGACTACCATGACAAAATAAGTCTGTCCCTCGATTTGGCGTCACGACCATTTGGGAAAAATTTTCAACTTTGGAGCACGACAGTGGCAAGCCTGGCGTCGATGGAGTCAGTTGGTTTTAGAGACTAGTTCGGGGTGTACGTCAGGATTGTAGTGCCGGTCGTTTCGAGTTGAAAGGAGGAATTACAAGATTAATAAAGGGAAGATTGTGTTTTTTGTAATTTTGGTGTCTCCATGACAGTACGTACCGGTAGTCATTCGATGAAGTAGACATGGTGTTAATTTTTGTTTATAAGATATTTCAATTGCTAGATTAACGTAGAAGTCCACTTTGTATCCTCGAACATGAGGTGCAGGGCTACCGCCAGAACAGAGCCAAATAACACGTAATTTCACAACCATCGCAGGTTTTTTCACGACCAATCCAGCATTATGGATTATAGTGTGTTTGGTCGTGACAATAACTTTAATATAATTGTAAATTGAACAGTTTTAGTTCAATTGAAACACATATTTTTATTATAACTAATAATTGAAGGATTGTTTAGACAGATTTAGATTATTCCAGACAATTCACGACCGTACCGCTTGTCCCTGACCATCACGTTTATGATTTCTATCATAAAAATTCCAAAAATTAAAATATCGTCATATTTCAATGTTTTATACACAAAAGAAGCACACCTCTATACAAACATAACGATTTTTCGGGTCTCAGGTAAGTTTCTTCGGAGTTATACAATCTTAGAAAGATTTTATTGGCTTTTTTTTCAATTTTTTGAGTTTTTTTATTTTTTTCTAGAAAGACCAAATATACCAAAAGCTCAGTGACCTTTTTATTGTATAATGGTCATAAAAGTAAATTAGTTTATAGCAAAACATAGCTATAAAAATAATATTAACTATTTTTAATATTCATTTAAACGTCCGTTATGGTCGTGACAGGATTTTGTGTTTTTCAACTAAAGATGCTCTTTTAAAAAAAAACTAGCCTACGGTACCAAAGATATTGCGTTACCATGGACATTTTATGAAACTTCAAATGTTAATGAAATAAAAAAAATAATAAACGTTTTGAAAAAAGGGGAATTTGCAAAGTGCTTTTCCTGAAAACGTACGTTTTTAAATTTTCACTCATTTATTCCCCATTTAAATATAACGAGTGCTTAGCTTTGCTGGCGGGGTACACTTACATATTGTTGGCACAAACAAGAAAATATAAATATTGATCGATATATCGTTTGGTTAGTTAGGTAAGGTTAACCTAACCTAACTAACCAAACGATATATTAAATTAAATAATCGAATAATCAATAATACTCATTCGGTTTTTAGTGCCAACAGATATAGAAGTGTACCCCTTTGCTGCTACGGGGCAGTTAAAAAGTCTTTTTTGGTCAAATTTGATCAACATAAGTAAACTACAAAGCTACAACAATCAACAGTTATCATCTTTTTCTACATAAGAATAAAATAGGAATTAAAATTTAGGACTTCAGTTTTTTTAAATAATTTTCTCCGTTACCGTACCTTTAATTGTACAACTAATACAAATGTTTGTATGAGGAGTTTTGTGGGGTAAACATTTGTTTACCTTTTTTATCCAGAAAAAGAAATCATCATAATAATGAATGTTCCCCTTAACAGGAAAGTACACTTTTTAGAGCTTAAAAACAAATAATTTAGTACTGAACCATTTTTGTATGCCCAAGGGTTACAGAGATTATTAAAAAGCGTAAACTATCCATATATAACATCAATCCAATTTGTATTCATAAACTCAACAGAAATATCTAATTTTTCTCTTATCCCAAAATGCCTAGGTAAAAATAAAGTATATACCGTAGAGGTACATATAATGATATTTTATTATTAAATTATTGAATTAGTAGAAATTTAGTATATATTTTTGGAAAAACACAGGAGTTTTATATTCTTAGTTTACTAATGTGTTTTCATATGAGGTCTAATCTGTCTCTTTGGGTTGATAAAGCCTTGTATACATTTTTCATTTTTGTACTTACGCACTGTCCAGGTCGTCTATAACCTTTCTTACTCTTTTTATCATTTCCTTTCGATCACAAACTCTGTCCTTGGCATAAAATTGACTACCCATTGTGTAATTAAACTTGAAATTTTCTTGGATTGGAATTCGTAGAATGTTATTTCTTGTATATCTTATATCATGTTTTCATAATCTGTTTTATAAACAGAAAATGTCTATATTGTTGTCAAATCATATGTAGTTTGAGTAAAAAAGACTGGATGTATGTGTAACAGTAACACAGACTTTGGGGTTAAAATGGGATATGCTAAATTTTGCATTTATTGGAACATATTTTGTATACGTTACAGTATTAAATTAATTAGGCTCGTAACAGAACAATAGTTAATTACATTATATTTAAAGAACAGTTATACTAGAATTGATTGAGCGATGAGCAAAGACCTTATTTTTAGCAAAAATATAATACAGGCCACGTGAACTTTAATAGTACCCCAATCAAATATTAGTATGCTTGTGCTTGCTGTGTGAATACTTTTAGGAAGCCTCAGGCACGGCCACCTTTAACTCCACTCCAGGCCGCGGCCTGGTAGAATTGGCAACGTCGCAAGTAGGGTTGTTTAGTTTCAGACGTCCCATAAGATAACATGACAGACAGGTGACATCAGCTCATTAATTCGCACTTTATTGATTTAAATGAACATGAATTTATTAAAATATTGAAATTAAAACACACATAATTGATAACCAAAACAATATGAATTGAAAATCTATATCTGTACATTTAAAGTGGAGTCAATATTTTCATAGTCCAGTAACCATGCTTTCGTAAATACACAAATACCATTAGCTGCTCCCAGGCAAAACAGCTGCTACAACCCTACTTGCGACGGTGCCACTTCGAAGGCCGCGGCCTGGAGTTAAAGGAGGCCGTGCCTCAGACCACCCCTTAGGTAAGAGAAGGCAAGTTGCCCGTTCTCCCGGACATTTAATCGGACCTAGGATGATGGTAGATAGATTGGGCTGAGGCATTGATTCTATAATCGATCGTAAAGCCGGGTTTTCCTAGGCGCGGAATCGGCGAGCGGAGAGAGGAACGTGGAGAGCGGACTCCACTTGTCTTAGGCAATATTTTAATGTTACTGTTTTCCTAGATGCGGAGCGGAATGCCATGTTAATTTCAATTCCGCTCTCCGCGTTCCTCTCTCCGCTTCCGCGCCTAGGAAAACCCAGCTTAAGACAGACACATTTCCCTCGAGATAGATGGATATCGCATACCGTACTTATAAGTATTTGCATTTCCTACACAATATCCATCATGTTCTATCTACGTAACATATTTCTAAAGGGAAAAAGCTGCAAAGGTGTTTTTTTAGCTAACATTCACAGTTAATTGCTATCTTTTTTTTTAATTTTATGAGAGCATGGAAATATCACTTATTTCTCGGACTCTCCTTCCTCTTTGTTGACTTGGCGAGTTTGCGTTTGTGGTTTCTCTCTCGGTCTCCGGGTCTCGGTACTAAAATCTGTTTCTATCGTTTCTGATTCTGCATTTTGTTTTTGTGTCATTCCTATCCTTCCATTGACCATTGCATTCTTATTCTTGTGGGGTGATTATTGGTATTGGTGTCGTTTGTGAGAGGTTAAGTTGAATCTATGCCGGTAAATTAATTACTTAAGAAATGAAACGTAAAGGTGATGAGATTGTCCTAGCTGAGAACAGAAGCATCAAAAAATTCCATGAAGACGTAAGTAAATGTTTTATAGGCCAGGCCTACTAGACGAATTCGAATTTGAACCTTTCTCAATTCAACGTAACTTCGAATTACGCATTAAATCTTGAAAATAAAACCGTTTAAAACAAAGCATTATGATTCTATATAAGGAAGAAGCTTTTTATACTTTTGATAATTTTATTATCTACTTTAAATTACCGTATTAAGAATTATACCGGTAGGCTAAGTTAAGTTAGGCGATTATCTCAATTAAGTGTAGCCCACATTGTACCACTATATCACTAAAACATTTAGCCTCAGGCTATATAGGCCTAAGTTATACCCTAGGTTCAATTATTCCTTGAAACTTAATGTCTAGGAAGGATACAAAGATAACAAAATACACAAGATAACAAAGGAGTAGTAGTACATAAGACATTTATTCATCATTTTTTACATATGTAATGCATAGATAGGTCAAAATGTTAGTAAATACATCTCGTATTCAGTCTTGAGTAAATAAATGTATAAATATAGGCCTATAAATAACAAGGAATTCAGTTAATACAGTCAATATAATACAAGAGTTAAAATTGAAATTAAGCGACGAGCAAATAAATACAAAAGTTACAGACCATGGCAAGAGATTAAAAATTTGACAGTTGGTAATAAATTAAAAAATCGTGCAACTTATATCTAAATCACAGTTACATCCTAAATCTAGAGAACAAGAAAACAATTCTTGAAAGCCTATTTGTTAGTTGATCAATCTGCTGTGACCAGGTTAACTGTTTATCAATCAAAACACCCAAAAACTTAACATAATCTTGTGAATCAAAAACATCAGGTACTTTTCTTAAGCTAAATATGACAGATTTTGTTTTTTCGTTGTTCAAAAGAAAAGAGTTTGCTGCAAACCAGTCTGAAATGTTACCAACTACATCTTTAACATGCAAACTTAATAAATCTATATCAGAACCATGCACAAGAAAGGTCGAGTCATCAGCATATAAATAGGTAGGCCTATCACAGAGAACATTATTAGGCAAATCATTTATCGATACTAAAAATAGAAACGGCCCAAGTATGGACCCTTGCGGGACTCCGCATACTACATTAGACATAGCTGACCGCTCGCCCTTGATACAAACCACTTGTCTTCGGTTGCTTAAGTAAGAATTTAATAGGTTAAGGGCAGCCCCACCGACTCCGTAGTGCTGTATCTTGCCCAAAAGCATCCGATGGTCGACGCAATCGAAGGCCTTGCTAAGGTCGCAGAAGGTGACCCAAGCAAAGCCTCCGCCCTCAAGAACATCATGTATTTTAGCAATCAACGCCCCAACAGCGTCGGTGGTGCTGCGCAACCTCCTAAAACCGAATTGTGATTCGGAAAGAAGGCCCAAAGCCTCAAAATGGTCACTTACCTGACGAAAAATGATGTTTTCTAACACCTTTGACAGGGCAGGAACCAACGAGACTGGCCTATAATTTGCAGGGTTTTTCTTGCAAAAAAAAAAACCCTTCTTACCCCCCTTCTTATGGATTGGAGTTATTTTAGAAATCTTTAATAAATAATCAGGAAAAGTTCCTTCTTCAAAACATAGGTTAGTGGCAGTGACCAGCGGTGTCGCTATAATATCACCAACACTTTTAATGACAAAATTTGACATTCCGTAGAAGTCTAATGCTTTGGAATTCTTTAAGTTACATATGACCTTTTTTACATCTACTTCATTCACAGGTTGGAAATAAAATGCTTGAGTTGCACGAGGCGCATTAAATGACACAAGATAACAAAGGATCTAGGCTAAGTTGCAAAGTTTATGTAAATGCAAATTTTGTTAGGCCTATTTTGTTTCAATAAATGAGTTATGAGTTATACAAAATGATGAAAATAACATTAAGAGTACCTACAGTTTCTGTTTCTTACTGGGCTAGGCCTATGCTAATATCCATTGAATTGAAAATATCGATAAGATCTAACTTAGCCCTCCAAGTGTCTCTAGTTTTGGTCTTAATGTTCGCCCATTTATTGCGCAATCGCAGGGTTTTATTAAAATGTATCTTAGAAACTTAAAAATAATGTATTAAGTATACTGTTTTATATATCATTTTGTTTGGAAAACTATGGGCTTCAATGTAACATTTATAAAACATTACAAAAAAAATGTTTAACAATTTTTGTGGGGTTAACATTTCTCAAAAATTATAAAATAAATGAAAACAATTTAAGTTATGTTTGCGCTCAATAAATTGTTATACATAATTTATAGGTCTACAAATATTTTAAAATAGCCACTTTGTTCAGAATTTTATAAGGATTCAAAAAATATAATAATAGGCTATAGGCCTAGGCCTAAGGAAGTAGATTTGCAAATAAATAAGTTATGGGCAAAAAACAGATTTCGGTACATAGCGTTTAGCTAAGAATGCATAGCCCAACCATAGCTAGGAATCTGGCTGATAATTTTCATCAATATCAAGCGCTTAGAGACAGACCTCAGGAGAAAGCTTAGAATCTGCAAAAAAAAACGATACCTAACTCGATCCAGTTCAATCCGATTTAGTCAGTCATAGAGCGTCCGCCGTAAACAGTGTTTGTGAGTCGCAAAAGCGACACAAAACACTACACAAAGTGTGTTATGAGTCGTTCAATATTTTTTTTAACTAGGCCTATATCTCAATTATAAAATTAAATCAGAAATCAGAAACTTTTTATTGCCGTAATTTGCAAGGTACATGCATATGACAAAGTCAACAACAAATGAGGTTCAAGTTCAACCAAGAAAATAAAACTAGATACCGGTAAAACATAAATAGACAAAACATTTGTCTGGACAGTCATAAACTGTCATAACCTAAGTTAACTAACCAAACTTGCTGATGAAAAAAAAACCAAATGAAGGTTTAAAAGTTAATTCTAGCCTAATAGAAAATTTGCTAAAATTACGTTTAGATTATTTGATAAAATTGTTCTAAGTAACTTAATATAACATAATCTAACTAAACTAACTAATGGTTCCATGATCACAGGAGATGTTCACAATGTCGTTGCTAAGTTATGACAGGTAACTTAAGTTAACTTAGTACAGCCGCAATCACGGATTGTAGGCCTAAGACACAATGACATAGTGAACACAATGAATAAGTTATGGATTAGGCCTACCGTAATTTGTAACTTAATGTACAAATTGTTTGATCCTCGCTAAAACTTACCAAAAGGTATATTTAGCTTACTTGTTGTGCCTATTGACTAAACTAAGTATTTATTCTAGTTAGGCTATAATAAAATGGTAAGATAGGCCTACTGCTAATGACAGATCTGCTATCAGTTAGTCGTATGAATATTCATTTGGGGTAAAAACAAGATAATGATATTTTTGGATTCAGGAAGTAAAAAACTACCTACAAAACAAGATTGTTGTACAGTCCACTCTTGGTAATTCAAACACTTGATAATTCAAAACTTTCGATAATTCAAAATGAAGGCTCAGTCCCTAGAGAATCTCTCAATATTTCAAATTTTTACCATGCATTTTGATACACTCGGTATTTCAAAGTCCAAATAGAGGGCAGGTCAATTTGTAACACGCAGTAATTCGAAGTTTCGTCGGAAAAACACTCTATAATTCGAAGTAACTCAGTAATTCGAAGTTTCGTCGGTTAACACTCTATAATTCGAAGTCATGCTGTAATTCGAAGTTTCGTTGAAAAAACACTCTATAAATCAAAGTCACACAGTAATTCGAAGTTTAGTCGGCAAAACACTCTATAATTCAAAGTGATCTCTTCCTGTTATAACAGGAAACTATACAGTACAGTACATCCTGTTCCTATGGTAGGCTAGTGTTGGACGTTTTGATGTTTGTTTAGTTAGAGCAGTAGTCTGAGTTAGTTCACTGACTTGTTTTTCTAAGTTGGCAATCCGATCTCTAGATTGCGCGACATCTCCTTGAGCACAAACGTAGTTGTCGACAGCTGATAGTTCAGCTATTGGCGAAATATATAGCGCTAAATAACAGACTTCTTTGCAACTAAAGTAACTGAAAAATAAGCCGTTGATTGTTTAAAAGTGTACTAAAATACGGTACAGTATGATGTTTTATTGTAACGTGCTGTACCTTTGTATGTATTAAAAAATGAACTCTCTGTAATTCGAATGGTTTATTTTTCTCCCGATAAATCGAACTCTTGATAATTCAAAACTCTTGATAATTCAAATTTAACTGCTTGTCCCACCAATTTCGAATTATCAAGAGTCTACTGTATGTAGTGGCCTAATACTCAACTTTTAAGCAACCCAACAAGATTTTGCTGGTTAGGAAGCCTAGTTTTGTTTTTATCTTGTGTCAGAGATCCTTGTAAAAATGTTTAAAATGATAAAAGTGTACAATTAAATGGGATAACAAGGTCTGATACCAATCTAATAGGCTAAGAGAGTAAATAACATATCTGGTAGGCTAGGACTTCTACCACGTAGCCTAACTTAGGCCACAGATGGTAGAGTCTCGATTACAGTAAAACCCCTCATATCCGGCCTAAGTGGGACCGAGCTCCTGGCCGGTTACAACCTGTTATTGATAAATTTGTATCTAATAACGACTTGTAATAGGTTAAAAGTAGTGTTTAAAAAGCCCTCCTCTTTTTGGAATCTACTCGCTAAACTGAGTAGTGAACCCGCTAAAACTGTGAACAGGAAACAGATAAACCGTGAGAACGCTCAAATCATGGAGATTACGTGTAGGCCTACAGCTGTTCGAAATAATTTGATTAAGTATTGGAGAGTGACCGGATAAACCGAGGACCGGAAATTCCAAGGCCAGGTATAAGGGGTTCTACTGTATAATCCATCAGTTCCTGTGGTGTATGACTCTTCTTGCAGACTATTTGAGTAGGCTACTGAGAAACCGGATGACATTTCTGGGTGGCATGGTTACACTAAAACAGGTCTAACTTAACATCAAAACATCCCCAATACCCACTGTCTATAGCTTACTTGGAAGATATGAGTCAGAATTTAGGCACTTGCTTTTAATTGTTTTCTGTTAATTGTTATAGTGTGCCACATACAACGTAGATCATCATCTTACCCATATCTCTCCTCTAAACTTACCCCTCAGTTTTAAGTTAGTTCCGGTGCAAACAGAGTGCTGGTAAACAGTAAATTTTATCATTAAGTCAACTGAACCCTATAGCCTAATTGCTTCCACTTATTAATCAATCATTTACGAATTGTGTCATTTGTTTATGTCAAAGAGACAAAGACTTGTAGGGTAAAAATATTTCACTACCGGTAAACAACGGCCTGATACCAGCTTCTAGGGATTAAAAGAAATAACGGCTTGCTTTTAAGAGTTTATGTCATCAAATGCTCTTTGAATCCTACAGTAAATAATTGTATGAGGAGCTGCTGTAAATGTAGCAAAATAGTTTTAAGTTACTAAAACTATCAACGGCTTAGGCCCATTCATAATTCATAATCTTATGAGATTAGACCTTGGACCTCTTGGTCACTGATCACACTTAAAAGCTAACTACACACAAATAGCACGGGTCAACCAAAAACCTATCCCAGGTAGTGTCAGGCTGGATCACATGTCAGGCATAGCTTTAAGCTGTTTTTGTTGACATTATCCTCACATAGATAATTGTAACCGGAAGCGGAAGTTTTGGTTGTATTATTTTTGCGTCCAATAGAAAAGAGTTCAAAAGGTTAAGCCAAGAATACAGTAAACAACCTAACCGATTGTTGTGTATAATTGTATTGAATTCATAACACTGTTCTAGAGAGGAGGTCAAGCGTCCGGCCTGCTTGCGCCAATCATGGTCCTGGAAGGCCACCAGGGCGAGATTTACGCTGTCAAGTTTCATCCGGAAGGACAATATTTAGCATCCTCAGGATTTGACAGACAAATATGTAAGTTAATGTTTGTCCCAATTGATTTTTTCCCTACCGTCCTACCTAAGTAATTAATGGTAATCTTCTGACTTGTAACATAATGTAGAAGTGGAGGAAGCCCCTGCGGCTACAGTTCATACGTTTCTTGCTCGTAAAACTATTGAAATTTTCCTAGGTTTTTTAAAGTGAGTTTTAAGTTGAAATTAGCATAAAGATTTTGTGTAAAAATTATGCTTTTTTGCTGAACAGCATTTTTTATTACATTGTATATAATCAAATGCTAAGATTACAAATTATTTGGTTTTGAAATTTCCTGCCTAATGCAGGGAGTGAGCTGATAAACAGGACATTTGTGAGTGTTAGAGAGATAGGAGATAGATAAGGAAAGTGGACTCTAGCTTAACTGACCTTTGCCAACATTGTGTTGCTATTTCAATAGACTCTTTCATTAACTCTGTAACTTGTGGGGTTCAACAAACAAGACTTTTGTTTTTAAAATATTTCAGTAGCCTAGTCTAGATAATAGAATAATTTAACAGGAGAAAGGCTACTTGGTTGACGTGGTCGATAGTGTCACCTGTTTTATAGCCATGCTATTTATAAAAGTTCTTGTGACAATAAAGTTTGATTTGATTTGGGGTATCATTAAATCTAAAGTCGGTTGTAAATAATGACTTACTTTCCTGATATTAATGATAATCATCTTACAAGTTGCAAGGAAATATCTGAATTCTTGAATAACACATTTATAAATATCACAAAAGAAATTGGCCTAATACCTCATGAAGAGGATGCACTAAAATGACAAGGTATTCATTCGTAGGAAATCAGTCCAATCAATTTGAAACCCAGCCACATGAAAGAAATGCCTAGATTGGAGTCAGTTAAGATTACAGCTGAACATGTAGGAAAAGTAGTAAGAAAACTGTTTGGAAGTGGAGGGCCAGGCGGGGAGGGAGTACTTCTGAACAATGGACTGATTTTTTATTAAGACATGGTAGAAAAAGTTCCTTGTTAAGAGCGTCAATTGCTGAATTAGCAATGAAGTTAAATGAAGAAATCATACCTTGGTCAAAAATACAAGCAATGGCTAATCGGTTAGTCACAATTGACAAATGCCCTGGTGTTAGACCAGTGGGTATAGAAGAAGTGTTCCGCAATATCTTAACAAAATGTGTAAGTCTTGCAGCTGGTGATGAAGTTATTGACATATATGGTACTGATCGAGTTGATCAGGATTATGTGTAGGATTAAAAGCAGGAATAGAATTAATTTTATTAATTTAAATAGGTATTTTTTTTATGTTAACTAATTGACAACCTTGTTCTTATACATTACATTCTTGCATTAAGTATAATCAATTTGAATTCAGTTTTATAAGTATAGCTAGAAGAAATTATTAATAACTAGCAGCTAGCCTCACTTCGTAACTTCCAAAACCCTTGATATATTTGAGTTACCCTACAATTTTCTATTCCTCTGAATTAAGTTGAAAATTATCTATGTTTTACATGTTGATTAACTTATCACTGACTTTATATTTTTAAGCAAACCCTGAACATAACTTTGTAATTAGTTTCCAAATACTAATGAAACATACTATGAAAACACAAAATTTACTGAAAGTAATCTTCTTCTTTATACAAATAACATGACAATATTTTACTTGAAATCACTAAAACACAACTGTAACGATAACTCCATTTTCGTATAAATGTAAACAAAATTGTATCATGGCCATCTGTTTTGATCTAAACAAATGTAAACTTAAAAAAGTCAGATGATTGATAACAGAATTCAGCACAAACTCTAAAATTTATAAAGCCTTATTAGAAGAAGGGCTTTCACGGTATATCATCCAAACCTGCAAAAGGCACATCTAGAGGATAAGAGCTTTAAATTAATACCCAATATGAATATGCCTATAAAAATAAATATTTACTATTTAGGGGTCAATTTGTTGAATACAAAAATCCAACAAATTCTTTTAATAATCTACTACATATTAAATCCCTCAAAAGTAAAAAATCATGAAAATCCTTGCACAAGAAAAGATTGTTGTTGAGCTTCATCTCCTTCATACAATGGTACATAAATTCTTTCATGACTCTCAAAACAATCAATCATAAAACACCATTTACAAGTTGACTCAGCACTCTTAAGCCTGCAAACAAATAGCCAGTGATGCAATGGCCTCAAATATTTATTCACCTTGCCAATTTGTTCGCACTGTTTACTGGTTAAGTAGAATCAGTTAGATGATAATTACCAATAGCTAAATAAACATCCAATGGAAACAGTGGATGAACGTTGATGTTATTGGGTTTCCCAAACAGCATCTTGAGACGTGTTTATGTTAAAAGTTTTTCTGAAAAAATAATAAATTATAATTCGGTTCGAGTTAGAGGTCAAACATTATTTTTACTGTTTTATCCAACTTATGAAATCACATTTGGCCCTAATACATATGCATAAGTAGGCCTTCTAATTACGATTCCTAAGCATTTGTTTGTTTGATACAACTTTATGTAAATCCTTTGAAAAAGGTCAAAATTTCTTTAGGTTTACAGATTAAATACAAGTAGGCCTATCATCAGGTCAAATATTATACATTTGCTGTTGCACTAGGCCTGTGCCAAAAATCTCATTAGATCAAACAAAAAGCTAAGTCAGTGCTATTTCACTTTTCTGTAGAAGCCGTTTGACATAATTTAGACCTAGTTCAACTGCACTAATGATTATTTAACTGCTGTTGCACTAAATCGACAGTGTTGAAATAGGTTCAAAAGAAAAAGTGGTTTTGAGGAATATACTTTCTCATGAACAGAGTACATAGTTTTTGACCTTATGATAATCTTGAATAAATTTGATCAAATCTCTGGTTTTCAGTAACCCATGCATAGTTTCATTAGATAAAATGTATAACCTAAACAAAGATTATATATTTTTAGTACTTTCTTTAGTTATTGATCAAATGATACTTGTGTAACAGCGAATACATTACTTTCGACCTAATGATACTGAAATTTCTTTATGTCTAAATGAGATTTTGACCTAATGGCTACACAATATTTGGTCTTTATTTTATTTTTGTGTTTATTCACGTCCTTTATATTTTTTACATTTTTTTGTACAAGAACTGTCATAACTCAGGTCTTATTAACCTAATGTTCATAAGTATGTAAAGCTGAGTTTTTCTAGGCACGGAATGCTGAGAGCGGAATGTAGAAAAGCTATTTTCTCCTCTCCCAGTGGTGTTCCGCAGCGCTACTAGGAAAACAGTACCATTAAATTTATTATTTAAGACAAGAGGGGAGCAAACATCACTCTCTACGCTCTGTTCAGCACCTATGAAAACCAAGCTTTAAGAAAAAGTACCTCTGTAATAGAGATCTCCTTCCACAACAATCCATTGGATCAATTAATTTATGTTTACAACCAGTACCAACATATAACCATTGAATACCTACTGAAAAAGATCCATTTATGGACCAGCTGTTACAAATCTATATATTTAATAAGCGGAAAGTAAATAAAAGAAACGTCTTATAACACTTAAAACATATATTTACGCTTATACTGTTACTCACAAGACGGTAAATATACAAAAACGATGGTAAGTGGTGATCGATTTCGATTGGACACTCCAATCATCATCAGACCCAATAGGCGAATGACAAGAATCTTGAATGCCGTCCCTACTTATACCCTATTGGCTACCGGAAGCACCGGCCAATACATTTTTATAAGTACAACTGGAATCAAAATGTATCTGTTCATTAATCAACTTATTTCTATCTTTACATTTTTCCTTATAAATATACAATTCTTCCCAAGCATTCATTACATATCCTTTCTTACAATTCTTTAAAATATCTAGACTATCCTCCATTTTTCCTAGTGAGTGCCCATTTTGTAACAGGTGTTGTGCGACATTTGATCTTTCCGGTTTGTTGTTCCTCCACGCAGATATGTGGTTTTTGAAGCGGTTTACGAAGTTCACAGTCTGTCCAATGTAGAAGCTATCACAATCGTTACAATTGATTTTATAGATGCCTGAAGTGTCAAATTTGTTACAATCTTCTATTTTTGGATGCAGTATTTTACTCATGGTGTTCTGAGTCCTGTAGGCTATTGAAACTCCATATTTCTTGAATCTGTTAGCATTCCTTTGTGTTGTAGTCCCCGTGTAGCTAAATGTGATATATCTGGTGCTTTCCTCTTTTATCTCTTCTAATGTTGTTCTGCTGTGTAGTGTATTCTGTCTATCGATTTTTCTCCTCGTCTTCCTTGCGATGTCCTCTATCGTCTTGGTTCGAAATCCATTCACTTGGGCGATCTTCTTAATGGTGTCCAATTCTTTTTTCCTATTGGCTTGGCTAAGTGGGATCTTATAGGCTCGGTACAGCATAGATCTAAAGGCTGCGGTCTTGTGGATTGTCGGATGGATAGACTTGTTGTTGATTGTAGTGTCCGTTTGCGTAGGTTTCCTGTAGATGTCAAACTCTATCTTGCTGTCTTTTCTCTCTAATGTGAGGACCAGGAAGTTGATCTTTTTGTTTTCTTCAAACTCGTTGGTAAAGGAGAGGTTTGGGTGGTGGCTGTTTAGTGTCTGCATAATCGTTTCGTGCTCCTGCTCCTGGGCTTGTCTAAAGATAACAAGAATGTCGTCTACATATCTAACATACAGTTTTACATCATGATTCTTTCTTAAATTCATTAACATTTCTTTTTCCTGGTGCTGTAAAAATATTTCTGACAAAATTGCCGAAAGTGGACTTCCCATAGCTAAACCATCTGTTTGTTTGTAAAATCTATTGTTAAATCTAAAATAATTTTGCTTCAAAACAGTCACAAGTAATTTTACAATCTGATTGACATATTCATCGTCTAAACTATTCTGCAAAAGCCTACATTTAACAAGATCTACAGTTTCTGATACAGGTATGTTTGTGTACAGATTTGCGATATCAAATGAGACTAGCCTACTATTCGAATCTATATATATGTTCTTTACACGTTCAACAAATTCATAACTATTCTTTACATTGTATACATATTCTAATTCTAAATCATTGCTGAGCTTACTTGCTAACAATTTTGAAACATTGTAGGTAGGAGCACATTTAAAGTTAACTAATGGTCTGATGGGTACATTCTTCTTGTGTATTTTTGGGATCCCTTTCATCACGGGCGCTTTAGAATTTAGGATGTTCATCTTCTGTCGATATTCTTCGGGAATCACTCTGTTGCATCTCTTCACGACGTCGGACAGCTCTCTTTGGTACCTCTGCGTTGGATCCTTTTTCAGCTCTTTGAAGTTATTTTCTTTGATGAAATCTTCCGTCTTCTTTATATATTCTTCTTTTCCGAGCACTAAGATGGCGTTGCTTTTGTCTGCTTTCACAACGATTGAGCTATTCTCTTCCAGCTTCTTCTTTTTATTGTTGCATGTCTTCAGTTCTTCATTTCTGCTGGGGTCTATGGGTCCTAGGCTGGTGAAATCGTTGGCTGTCACTTCCTTCCGAACGGCATAATGGTCTACGTCTCTGAGTGATTTTACATTTGCTTCGACTTCAGTAGCTAGTAGTTCGTTTTCGTCCTTCTTCTTCATTGGGAAATTGTACTTCATTCCGTAGTTCAGTATTTTTGTTTCTTCTTCACTGAATTGAATGTCTGTAAGGTTGATGACTCTCTTCTGGAATTTGCGTTCTGTATTGGTCCTATCCAATTCTTCATTAGGTGTATTCTTCTCTAGGAGTTTGTCTAATTTGTCGTTTATCCGTAAATATTTCCGGTCCATGGCGTCTTCAACCTCTTCACTGATGACTTCGTGTAGTAAATTCCATGCAATTCGAAATCGATCGATCAATCGATCGATCGAAATCGATCACCACTTACCATCGTTTTTGTAAATTTACCGTCTTGTGAGTAACAGTATAAGCGTAAATATATGTTTTAAGTGTTATAAGACGTTTCTTCTATTTACTTTCCGTAAATTTAATAACACGTACAATGCTGATCAAGAAGTTATTTAATAAGCGACATGAAACTTTGTGAACAATAAGGCTTTTTTGTTTTAAAATTTAACCCTACATATTATATACCAAAATGTTCGTCTAAGTGTGTAGATGTGCTAACTAGCTTTAGATTTTCGAAATATATCTTTTTAAGGGCATGGGCTGCCCTCAAAGTTCCTTCCATAAGGATAACATTGTGATTGATTTGAATGTTATTATATTCTGAAACAGATGTCAATACATTAGTTTTGTTTGGTTTTGAAATGTAAACAGTTTGCATGTTATTAAAAATAATTAGAAACCCGGCAAAGAAATGTTACCTATAGGACACGACGGGAGAAAAGTTTTACATTTTATTTTCGTTTAGCCTAAACATGCCAAGGACCCGATGACCAAGAAATATTGCCGGTCGGACAAGGCGAGTTACCATACAGCAGGCAATGCAAAACGTAAGGAGCCCAGACGAGGAGCTGGAACAGTTAGTGGCAACGTGTACTTACAAAATTACGCTGACAAATACAAGAACTCAAACATAGCCAGTCATGACTCATCTTTTGCCGGCTACACCACGCACACTACCGTACCAGTATTATTTTAATTGGCCAATTTTGTTAAATGTTTGTGTTTTCGTGTCTTCAACGACTCTTCACAGTTATGAAGAGGATTTATGTGTTTAGAAGGAGTTTAACCATGGTATCAGCTTGAAAATGAACCTTTAGGTTCAAAACCTGGGTCGCTGACCTAAAAAACAGGATCACGGACAAGTACTACAGGTATTTAACCTTTTATTAACAAGAACTCAGCAGCATTCACTTGGCGAGATGGCATTAAAATGTCAGAAATGTGGTTTGCTACATTTTAAAGAAGAACAAAGAGGACGAGGCGAAGGATTTTCCTACTGCCATAAAGGAAAAGTGAATCGACCACCACACCGAGAAAGCTATTATATCCAGAGCCTACTAAATGGAGCAAATCATTTGAGCAGAAACTACAAAGAGAACATTAGATTGTACAACTCTGCGCTCGCAATGGTCAGCACTCGAGCTAAAATTGAAGAACATAACGGTGAAGGGCCTTTCATGTATAAGGTGCACGACACAATTTATCACTCAATTGGCACCTTTCAACCGTCAGAAGGGGAGCATCCCACATATGCCCAAATTTATATATACAACGTCGAAACCGCTGTTGAAGAAAGAATGCTAAACAAAGCTAATGGCTCATGTAACACTGAACTCATGCACATTTTGACTCAACATTTGGTTGATATTAATCCATACGCGCAAGTTTTCAGCATGATGAGCTCCGTTCTTCAAAATACTCCTACTGAGCAGAAAAAAGAACTTAGAATGCACAAGCCAACGATCGAGCTCAAGACCAACGCCGATACAACGATGCTATAATATCCTAATTTATTATTCGAGCGAATTCGCACGTGTTCACCTAGTTTTTGATTAAAAAAGAACAGTTGAATTAGCCACTCACAAAATGTGCTAATGTCTAAAATTCTATTTTCTACCTTTAGTTTTTGTTACTGACATATTTGATGGGACATAAAATTGCTATCGCTTTCTTTAAGTCATCCTAATTGCATGACTTGGTCAAAAAGTCTGTGGAGAAATCAGTAATTTATATTAGCGCACACTGTTGGTGATTGGCTCATTTAAACTACGTCTATTTTGACAGAAAACTAGCGACAACTTAATCATGGAGATAAAGTGTGTAGTTCTAGATATATTTTTTGTCTATGTGCAGTTCTATGGAACGTGTACGGAGAGTGCGAGAACATCGCAGTGATGACTGGCCACACAGGAGCTGTCATGGACCTTCACTTCTCTACTGACGGATCGTCTCTCTTCACTTGCAGCACAGACACAACCGTGGCCATCTGGGACCTCCAGACTTGCCAGAGAATCAAGAAACTCAAAGGTAAGTGCTAACTCACTCTGGTGTTCGATTTCTTTTTCACCGTGCAGTACTGATTGTAAAGCAGCATTTTCCTAGTGCTGCGATTAAGCCAGATACGCATCGTGCTTCCCGGTTGCCGGAGTGAGCCACCGATTTCTTTGAAACCAATTTGAATGTTTTCCTAGTTCTTGGTGAGCAATTAACTGCCGACCATGCAGCGCACAGCGTGACCGGGAGCACTGCTTCAAGAGCAGTAAGCTGCAAACCAAGCTACCGAAGTGGGTTATTGTTTAGAATAGAGTTATGTAGAAAACTAGTTAAAGTTACTAGCTATTATGAATTAGAGTGATGTTACTAAGTTCACTTTTGATAACAACCCTTAATTTATGGATGTTAAATAATTTGCTGCATATTGCTTGTTCATGCATATAAATTTTTAGGAACGTGGATAGTATCACAAAATCATTGCGTAGGAATTTTAAAAGTCAATCAAAACAGCACATCATGTTTTTGTGCTCCAAGTTTCTGTAGTAGCAAACTTAATTACTCATTAAAATGGGTGTGAATCTAAAAGGAAATTTCTTTAACTGTGTTTCTGTTTTAATGAAATCTAAAAAAGAAACTAAAAATTCACCTCCGGTAATTCAATTTAAAGATACTTAATTCACAGATATACAAAAGTATACATGAATAATTTCTTCTACATAAATAATAATAAGTTCTGTTTATAATTTACACTCCAAGACAGGGTTAGAGTAATCTTTGTGGAATTTATAAGAATTTTGTCTGCATTGGCAATAAAAATAATATGTTTTATGTCGTTTTTATTTAGGTAGTATGGTAGTGTGGAATAACAAAATTACTTTAACATTGAATTCTACAGGCCACTCGAGCTTTGTCAACTCGTGCCATCCGACGCGTCGCGGGACTCAGCTTGTGGCCAGTGGTGCAGACGACTGTACCATCAAGGTGTGGGACCCTCGCAAGAAAGGACAATGTGTGACACTCAACAATACGTATCAAGTGACGGCCGTGTCGTTCAATGACACTTCGGAACAGATAATCACCGGTGGCATAGACAATGACATCAAGGTAGGTGAACTGATTAACACAGAGCATACTATAAAGTAAATAGTTACCATAGCAGCTAAGTATGAATGCATAACTTCCAAAAATAATTTATCCGATAAGTTTGTCACAAAACCCAAATTTTTAGGCCTAACAGTTGATAGTACACTCGGTGGATCACACTTGTTGATAATATTTGTAAAAAATCAGCTCTGGAATTTTAGTAATTAGATGCCTAGGTATATCCGATTCTAGGTCTAGGGGTAAGTCTTACCCAAGGTTATTAAAAGAAAAAGAGGTTGCCTCAGTCGCACGTATGACGTCAGCCGCCGACCCGGACGGTGCTGCTTTTAATTCACAAAGCTGTCACCTGTCAAATTCTTTGTTATTGTTGTTTGTTTTTGTGTAAGTTTCGTGCGATTAAGTAAAAGCATGTAAAAGTAAGCTAGCGGGCGGGAGTGTGACGTTATCCGCCGATCTGATCGCCGCATTCTCCTTCACTCTATTACTACACCACATATTATTTTTGCATTTGGATGAGAAACAGCTCTCTTTGTAATGTAGCCTATAACTACTTTTCGACTGGTTTTCAGAAAAAAAACTTTACATAAACATGTTATTAAAGCAAATATTTTATTAAAGCAATACAAAAATCATTTTTAAAATTGGAAATGCATAAATTGTATCAACAAATACTACATATGGGTGTTATGTTCTTTAGTAAATTGCCAGAACGTGTAAAAATTCAATTTTTTGTTTTGAAAGTTTAATCTTATCTCTGAGTTACTTCACTGGATAAGATGTGTTGATTAGTGATTGTACTTATTATACTGCCATTTCCAGTGCAACTTTCATCTATGCTTGATATTTTGACTAGGGATTCTTCTTGTTAATCTTGATGTTGAAATTTTAGACAAAGTTTAATTGATGGACATGCGAGGATTTAATGGATCTAGACTAGTTTACAACAGTGGACCCATTGCTTGCATAGTTCTTCTTCCTTAGGAAAACGATGATAAACAATTTTAGGCCTGTCACTATGTAAATCACGGGTTTTACCCGACTATTGTTACATACCGCTACAGCACACCGCTCACCAGGCATTTCAAACAAACTATAGTTTGATAAAGATAAAATGTAACAATTAAAATTATATAAAACACAAAAAAAATATAAACCAGAATCTTACTAATATTATAAACCTGAAAGTTTGTGAGTTTGTGTGTGTGTTTGTGTGTATGTTTGTGTGTGTGTTTGTTGCTCAATCACGCATAAACTACTGGACGGATTGGGCTGAAATTTGTCATGATGATAGCTCACATTCCCGATTAACATTAAAGCATATTCTTATCCCAAAAATCCTTTCGGGCTCCGCCCCAGTGGCTCTGTAGTTCCCCATGTTAACCTTATGATTTTTCATATCTAAAAGGAATTAATGAATCTTAACAGCTGTTTCAATTAAACAAGTTGGTTCTGTTCTATGATGTTCAATAGCATAAAAGTTACAAGGATTACCAACAGGGTGCAGCACTATTATTTTTTTTTATTTATGACAATAGCTAATTTTCAACCAAAAGGTCAGTGAGCGAAGCGAACGAACTTCAACCAGGACGTGAATGAGCCATGCGAATACTTATGAAGTTAAACGGGGCAAAGCCCGCGGGTACAGCTAGTGAAAATATAAACTTAAACAATAAAAAAATATAACGCAGGATAAATTAAACAAGAAAGAATAAGGTTACTTAATCGCACTAAACAAGCACAAAAACGTTTGAAGTGGACACTCAGAAATTACGTATTTTCCTAGTAAGAATGGTGGTTCTGCTTACAAATAAATAAATGAAAAACAAAACAACAATAACAAAGAATTTGACAGGTGGCAGCTTTGTGAATTATAAGCAGCACGGTCCGGGTCGGCGGGTGACGTCATATGCGCGACTGAGGCAACCTTTTTTTCTTTTAATAACCTTGAGTCTTACCAAGCCATCTACGGTATAGCTACTTACCTGTAACTTCAGGGCACCTACTTCAGGGGATGCTGTACTTGTAGGGAATATAACTAATGTAATGTGTAATATTGTATAGATTATATCATGTATAATACTGTGTATGGGGAATTGCAGTAACTATTTTTGCATATATTAATTTTATTATTTCTTTTTCATTTGTGAAAAGTTGTTGTTACCAATGAAATGACAGTTTAAAGATCAGATGTGCCATACTATCTTTTTGGTTGAACCGCATATATCCAACAGACATTTATAAAAATCTCTATTATTATCCAACTGACACCTTTTGCACTTCTAGATCTGGGATGTGCGCAAGAACGCTCTGCTGCAGAGGTTACGCGGCCACACAGACACGGTGACGGGTCTGAGTCTATCTCCCGACGGCTCTTACTTGCTGAGCAACGCGATGGACAATACTCTGCGTATCTGGGACATCCGACCCTTCGCACCTCAGGAGCGCTGCGTCAAGATACTGTCTGGACACCAGCACAACTTTGAGAAGGTCAGTAGACATGCTTCCACAGTCACATACCGGTACTGTAGTTTCATAGTCTCCACAGTGACCGTGTCAAAATCGTTACATTTATCAACATCTCAATTGTAGAGTGACTCAATTTTTGCATAGTTGATATCATGTTGTTTTAATAATGTCAACTGTGCCAAGTCAAACCACCCAGAACATATAAGGCAACACAGGGAATAGAAGTGTTGGAATAAAGTTGGATTATTTTTAGCAGGAAAAAATGTGTAAAATCTATATTTATTGCGTTGTTTAACAGTATGCAGTTCCAATTATTAGTATGGTAGCTTTCATAATACCTACAGGGACAAAGTATCGTCCTGTATCCAAGTATTTCAAGAAATTATTCATCCTTTTTTATACTTCATGGTCCTTTCTTCTCAGTTTGCCTCTTAGGTACCTAAATTAATCTCCTTTAAATTCTCTTCATAAACCAATCAAAATATCCTGCTTATTTTTCATTCAAATTTAAAAAATTTATCCTACTTAAAATTATTATGTGTACATAGACCCTTTCTTCAGTAAAAGTGTTTATTCAGTTAGCCATATATTTTAGAACCTGCTGAGATGTGCGTGGTCTCCGGATGGGTCTAAGGTGTCGGCTGGGTCGGCCGACAGGTTCGTCTACATCTGGGATACGACCTCTCGTCGCATCCTGTACAAGCTGCCCGGCCACAACGGCAGTGTCAACGACGTCCATCTCCACCCGAAGGAACCCATCAGTAAGTTACTTAGTGTCATTGATAACTTTTGGGACATTCAGAAAGAGTCACAAACTAGTATCAAAGAATATCTTTAAAGGCCCGTTCACACGGGGCGAGTTTACAAGCTACACGCCAGCGTGTAAGAAGCCGGCGAGTTGGCGAGTGTGCTTGTATTCGTTCACACGGGCTAAGCCGCAGTGCTTTTAAGCCACAGTGTAACTAATTCGCATTCATAACGTGTCCAGCAATCCTCAGATTAAGTAGGAAAAATGTGAAAAAGTAGAAAGTTCCACTTAACTTTTAATACACCTTGTTGAATGTTTTATCAGATTTTGAACTAGTTGGTACAAATTAATTTGCAAGGGTTGATTATTATAAATATGAATCATAGTTGCTTAAACTGTATATTGACTATGGAGGGAGGTAATTGAAAAAAAAACAGCACAAACAGGAAATTTTTACATTTTATTATGCATCTCAAGATGGCTACTAATGAAGATGAAGTAGAAGTAGGTATTCTATTATCCGACCCACACACCTAATGACAAGAAATACATTCAGCTCTTCTTGTCGAGATTTGTCTTTTGATCGCAAATCCAAGCCAGCATTTAGGCCAGTCATAAATATGTTGACCATAACTACATTTTTTTTAGGTACAGTACATTCAAAATTCAGACCTCAAATCTGAGCCCTAATTAAAAATACCCCCCGCTGCAGCAAACCTGCCGACTAAGCGAATTTCCATTTGCCTGGATTGATTTTCAAATAATCTATTAAATTAACATTTATTTTTAACGAGTTCCTGCTACAGGGAAACTAATAAAGTGTGTTTTTTATTAATATATCAATAGCTTAGTGTGAAGTAAATAAATCCGCCAAGTTTGATCAAAATATATATCCATAAACAAGCCAACTACAACATTCTACAATATTCTCCATAAGAATAACATGGAAACTTTAAATTAACATTTTTTTTTTAATTTTCTCTGTAACCATTCACCGTACAAAAACACTTTGATATACTAAATTATTTGTTTTTTAAGCTCTTTAAAAAGGTCTGGAGAAAAATTGGTAAATTTTGTGTTTTAAGGGTAAAAAATTAGAAAACCCCATTTTTACCCCATAAAACCTCCCGTTAAACCCCTTTCCCATGGTCCGATCATGCTAGTTTGCGAACTCATTCAAGTTTATCCCGCCTTACACCTTCAAACCAAATTTTATCAAAATCAGACAAAAATTACTCAAGTTATCGTCCGGAACGAACTCATATAATATATAGATATATATATACATATATAAAAATTTGAACGAATGGTGTTTTTGGCCTCTGGGGACATCAAAATGAAAAAGTAAATCGGTCCCGGGCCTAGTTCTTACCATGAGACCTACGGTAATAGCTACTTCCCTATAGGGAAATTCGCTAAAATAAACTATTTGATTGTGCACTTTATATAAAAGTTTGTCTACCATGATTTTAGCTAGCCGTAGTTGCTTTCTGCTCATTTTCCTCATACCTACCAGTTGTAATACACTATAACAATATATTTTTTGTTTCAGTCATGTCAGGGTCCAGCGACAAAGTGATTTACTTGGGAGAGCTGGAGTAGCTTTGCGACTCTAGCGAAGTATTTCAACAAGCCAGTCATGTGGCAGTAGATCTGCTAAAAAACTTAAACATATGTATATAATTGTGCTTTCTGATCCTGATAAAGTAGTGATCTCTCACAAAGATCCACAACTAGGTAACTGTTTCAGTCTTCATAACCTCAACGGTTCCATTGTTAGGAGAAATATATTTTTTATGAAGTTACTAGTACTTTCACACATTGCTGTGTGACTCGGTAAAATTCTAAGATGTATTGTAAAGTAGGCCTAATTGTTTTAAACTATGTGTAGCTTTTGTATATCATTTTTAACTTGTAAATAGTTTATATTTGAAAGTTATAATCAACTGTAATTTTAGCCTTTTAGGTGAGACTAGAACCTTTGAATAGTCAAAGCTACGACCAATTGTGAGTTGCATACATGCAATTTAAGAATTTTTATTCACATCCTTGATTGTGGTTCAGGATAATGAAAATGGTTTAGTTTAGTGGCAAATATTCAATTACCATTTTGTTGTTTGGTATTAAGTTGCTTTGGTCTAAAATGTATCTTTTTGTTCATGAACTTATTTTTTAATACTGGATGAAATGTTTTATTAAATTTGCTTTTTTGTTACACTTATTTTTGTGACAAGTAGCTTACTTAACTGGAAGTGATGTTATTTACTTTACTTTAGTAAACGTATCAATTTTCTAGTGGTGTAAATGAAATAAACTCGTTAAATTTTTTGCATCAAATGAAAATTGGAGCTATTCCCACCAATAAAAATATGTTGCTTTACACGTTGTAGCCTGTTAAATTCTAAAATAGGCCAGTATGTTGTTTGATAAAATTAAAATGCACCAATGAACTCACAGGTGGTACCCAACTTTTTCATCAAAAAGACAAATAAATATTTTTTCCTACAGTTACCTAACAATGTACATGTTCTCTCACTGATTTGAGAAAGCAAAGTGGCCAATTTGCTCATCAGAGTTAACATTGTCTCACTCTAATTACTTTGTCTCACTCCAGATTTGCAACATGAAGGCACGAAATAGTGAGCGCGTAACATGCAGGCAATGTCGTATGCGCGCCAAATACGTTGGCAGCACTGGCTGTAAATCAGCTGGTCAGCTGTTGTACTGTTGTATTTGTCACTTCACATTAAATGTTATATTAAATGTTCACAACTGTGTAAAAATAGGTTATGTTTCTTCACAAATTTATTTGTTTTATGGTAACTGTAGGAAAAGTATAATGTGCAACTCGAGTTCAAAGTACAATTGCCTCACTCGAGAAACCATTCCTCACTCGCCTACGGCTCGTGAGTAAGGATTTCTCTCGAGTGAGTCAATTGCTCACTTTTCTCACTAGTTGCACAAATAACTATAAACAGCATTGAGAAATGTGCAAATAATGATTTTGTTCAATCTTGTACTTTGACTAAGCCCTTTGTTATAGTCTACTCCAGTGGCATTTTTGTAAGGACAAATAATTAGCGCTTTAAAGGAAAGCAGTCCAACCACTCAAATTTTTGTAGACATGCCGGGAATCTAACTAGCCCTGCTCGCACCAAAGAGGTGCTAACCACTTGGCTAGCATCACACCCAACAAAACACATTTTAATTTATTCCTCAGACCAATAATAATTTGTTTGAGTTTAAACAAAAGCACTTTTTTGTGATAAGTAATAGTAATTTTCTATTGTTATGTAGGTTTAGATTAGTTAGTGAAAAATTAGCTCTGTTGAACATTGTATTAATTAAATACAATCAATAGAAAGGGATTACCATGTTTTTATTTCTCTCACCTTTTAGCGCTGCTAGCATTCTAGTGCGAGTTGCAGTTCATAAAAAAAAAATACTAATTGTTATAAGCCTAGTCTTTTGATATGAAAATCTTTTTTGGGTTTTTGGTTAACCCAGCTTTCAGTTAAAGGTGGTTTTACTGCATCTAACAACCAGAGATAAATGTCAGTCAGAAAACAACTTTTGATTAATTTAAGAAATATATTTTGCGTGTAGGTTAAGTAGTACTCTTGTTTTGTATTAAGAGGCCAGAATAGAGTAGAAGACATAATGGTTAACTCAGCTAGCCAAGTTCCTGCCACATCCTGATACTCTCAGACAAAAATATGTCGATTTTATATTAGGAGGCCAGAATAGAGTAGGAGTCATAATGGTTGACTCAGCTAGCCAAGTTCCTACCACCTCCTGACACCCTGATACTCTCAGACAAAAATTTGTCGATTTTATATTAGCCCAGAATAGAGTAGGAGTTCAGCTAGCGAAGTTCCTACCACCTCCTCATAAATTGGTGAATTTTGAATTAGGAGGCCAGAATAGAGGAGGAGTCATCATGGTTGACTCAGCTAGCCAAGTTCCTGACACCCTGATACTCTCAGGCATAAATTGGTCAATTTTGTAATAGGAGGCCAGAATAGAGTAGGAGTCCTAATGGTTGACTCAGCTAGCCAAGTTCCTACCACGTCCTGACACTCTGATACTGACATTAATTGGTCAATTTTGTAGGAGGCCAGAATAGAGTAGGAGTCATCATGGTTGACTCAACTAGTTAAGATGCTACCAATCATTGTCACCATGCTACTCTTGGGTATAATGTAGTCAAATTGTTTACTATGAGGTTATGATGATGTAGGAATCGTCATTACTGGCTCACATTAATTGTATTGTCATTGTAGGCAGAAATCACATAGTATAAGGAAATATGAAAAAAGAGGTGTTTGTGGGTACAGTGAGGGAGGAAATATGAAAACATCATAACAACAAAACAATTTATTAAATACATTGTGTGCTAGGAAATATTTAAGATTGCTCTTTTTATTTACATGAGATTTGGTTGTGGAAAGACCTGTTTACAACCGTTACAGTGAAATCACTGAAATCAAAACCTAAAATTAACAAGTACAAAAAACATTCATATTTTTTTAGAACAAACAATAAGGATATATGGAAGCAAATCAGTAAATAAATTGCCTTATTCTAAGTAATGTATAAAAATACAGAGAAAACGTATATGTAACAAATGCAATAAGAATAACACATCTTAACACTAGCACATTTTGAGAATGAATCAAGTATCTCTTATGATTCAAGATCATAGACAAATAGCACTTCACCTTTCCTAAGCCCCCACTCATTTAAAGTCTGTGTTTTTGAGGGTCCTTTACAGTCTAAAGTTCGCTTTGGGAAATTTGTTGTGATTTCAAATTCATCTGGTGATTGAGGATGGCAGAACACAAAATGGAAAATGTCCTGCAAAAATAAGAACACATCTCATACTTTGACCAATTAGGAAACAAGCAATTGCAGCAAAAACTATAATTTTTCAATTGAAAGTCTTGGTAAACACAAAATTAAAATACCCCAAATTTCAGTAAAAATGTGCAACTAGGTCTATCTGAATTTTTGTATCATCCTAATGTCGCAATTGATTTGGTTAGTTTGAGATCTACTGAGCATTATTATCATCAGTTAAGCTGCATAAAACAGGTGAAATAAAAATGTTTTATTTAACAAAAAATAAATTACAAACCTAGGCTTTTCGCACCATATACATGGTTGGCAGAGATATTTATTTCATAGTACTTAGTAGAACCATAAAATTAATTTTAGACTTTTAATATAACAAATACACCCCCCCCCCAAGGGAAAAAATCTAGTTTAAAAAATGATAAATTTTTCCTAAAAAATATTAAAATTTTAAGTGATTTCATATGTTAAATTCTGGTACCAATCCCCACTTAAGATGCCAAGCCACTTAAAATACCCCCCAAAGTGGGCTATCTCTAACATTCATAAAACTCAAAAATTCTTCCCACTCCAATTCATGCTTTGAAGTGACAATGGACATTTTGCTCTACAATCCATCGCTTCTGGAAGCCTAAGGCTCCGGCCACACGAGGCGGTTTAACCGCGCGAAGTTAAGGGGCTCGACAACACATTGAATCAAATGAGAGTGGCCACACGAGGCGAAGTTTAGCCGCATGTGCGGTTGAGCCGCGCCATGTCGTCCCCCAACCGCGCGAAGTTAAGCCGCGTTGGGGGGGATGACACACGTAGTCTTAGGAGAGTGGCCACACGATACGGTTCGACCGCGCGGCAGCCGCGCTTATTGGAGATATTCTTCGGACACTTCCAGTGCTTTTTTAGTTTGTTTTGCGTGTTTGTTACAGGTTGTGTGGTGTTCAAAAAATGTTTGATGTTATTGTCAGACGTTCCTCAGCACTAATTGAACTTCTCATGAGTGTATCTTCTTTAGCTATATGTGGTTGGCGCAATTCAAGTAACTTGTCGAACGATGCAGTAACACTAAACACATACATACGGTAATAACCAATATAACTCCGAACTATGGTTTCGCATGTGCTCGTAAAAAGTTTGGAACACAAATGGTTTTTCCGTTAGGAAGGGATGGACCAAGTGGTTTCTGTTAATATTTGGTTCAAGATCACCACACGCTTCTAATGCACAAACTAACATAATGTTTCGTCCACGACTAAAAAGAGTGAACTGAATTATGTTTAAATAGAGTACTGATACTGGGAAAACCCAACAGGAAGCGGTTCATCCGCCCCGTGTGGCCAGGTACTTCGCGCGGCTTAACTTCGCGCGAAGATAAGCCGCGCGGCTTAAATTCGCCTCGTGTGGCCGGGGCCTAAGCACTATGTCAAACTGTGTGTGTGTAATTGTAAAAAGTGTGTTGAATAAGTAGTATTATTGCACCTTGAGCATTTACTAAATATAATAATCTAAACACTATCCAGTCCTCAATAATAGTTATCTAAAAAAAATAGGAATTGAGGTAAGAAAATTACCTCTAACGTGTGAGTTTGCAAGAATCTCCGCTCGAGTCTTGTTCCATTGGGCATCTTAAACACAACACAGACAGACTGCGGATCTGCAGCAGGTGGCTCCCTCGGCACCAGAGCAACCAACTCAATCTTCTGTCGTTGTAGCTCCTAGAGACACAAAAACATCTATTATATTATTATTCTTATCCTTACTCCTATCTCTGGTTGATTACCTTTGACTATTGTTATTGATACCACCGCATTCAAGTTTTTGCCAGTTTTAAATCAAAATCGTCTTACAAGGACCTTTTTATCCAAGGCAAACTAATGGAACTACTTATTGTGAGCTATAGCAATAGCAACGGTTATGACCCATCAACTTGGCCAGCAACAAAAAATAAGGTAGAAAATAAAATTTTAGATATTCAAAATCCATTTTTAGCCCCTGATACCACCGATATGTAGATGATACTATTCTTTTGTTTAACGGTAACGTCCGACAACTTGAATTATTACACAAATATCTAAACAATATTGCCCCAAATTTGAAATTCACGATGGAAATTGAGGAGTCAAACAAAATGAATTTTCTAGACCTGACAATAAGAAAAATTCGACAATAGATTGGATTTCAGCATTTGTCGTAAGCCAACTACGTCAAACCAAACCATCCATAACACGTCATACCATCCACCATCACAGAAATATGCCGCTTATAATAGTATGTTATATAGATTGTTAAATGTTCCAATGTCAGACAACAATATTAATAAAGAACTCAATTTGATCAAACACATAGCGCTATCTAATGGGTACAACAGCAATATGATTGACAGGTTATTAAGTAAGATGAAAAACAAAAAGTCTGGAGACGTCCAACCACAAAAGAAGAAGTATGTGTGTGTAGAGTACTCACATTCAATTCAGTACTCACTTACGAAAGAATTGAAAAAACATGGTATCGAATTGGCGTTCAAGACCAACAACAAGACAATTAATAAATTAAACGTTTCTGATCGTGTAATCGACAAAAGTGAGAAGTCAGGTGTATACAAAATTAAATGTGCTAGTTGCCCGAGCTTTTAAATAGGAAAAACTGGACGGACATTCGGAACCAGGTACAAAGAACATCACCCATGTCCAAGAGCCGACAAACAAAAATCATCCTTTGCTCAACACCTGGTTGACAAAAATCATGACATGTATGATCTGAACACTGGTCTCGATATACTCCACACAAGCAAGAAAGGAAATAAATTGGACACATTAAAAGAATACGAAATTTACAGAGCCTATACAGAAAATAATTTTGATGACACAATATTAAATGACAAACTACAATATAAATCACACATCATATTCAATAGTATTTTAGACCAGGACAAGATACAAAAGGCAGGAGTACAAAGGTCAGCTGATAACACCACTACGCAAAGATCGATGTAGGATTAACCTCTAGTCGGCATCCAGTTCAGATCGCGGCAATGTCAACCGGTACCGTGTGTGCGACAGGCCTGTTCGTTGTGTTTTCGTTAGTAATTGTAAAATGTTATTCGTGTTCGTGTTATGTGTTTCAACTATGACGACACTACTTCAGCTGAATGTTCAACGTCTGACGATGGCATTATAATGCCGAAACGGCCGTAACTCAAGTTACAACAGTTTGAGCTGTAGACGAAGGTAAATACCTATTTCTATATACAATATACAGCTGATGCGGTTCAGTTCCTTTGATTCTACGGGTATAAAAAAGTTATGTTTCTGCGTTTAAAATAAATGGCAGAAAATTAGGGTTGTAAAAGGGCAATGAATACAAACCCTTTAAGAAGTTAAATGCCTTCGTAGAAAAATTCAGTCTGGAAATATTTGAATTTTCGATAGTTCCCACGGCGGCCGCTAGGTAGACTATAGCGAGCGCGTGGCCAAGTCAGCTGACTGAGTGAAACCAAGAATCTGCTTAGAAAGAAAGAGAG